AGGCTGGCCAATCAGGAAGTGTCCCGGGGTTAGAACTTCCAAATCATTCGGGTCGGAGGAGAGGGGACAGAGGGGCCGAGAGTTGAGTACCGCCTCAATTTTACAGAATACAGTGGCGAGCTTCTCAAATGTAAAAATAGCTTCACCAATAACGCGACGGAGATGCGTTTTTGCCACTTTAACCACCGCCTCGAAAATACCGCCCCAGTGGGGACACGCCGGAGGGTCGAATTTCCACTGGATGCCCCTTTTTGACATAGCATTGCCTAAATAAGTACGGTGGCTAGACAGAAACTCGACGACCTCCTTTAGATACCTATCCGTGCCCTTAAAATTCGTTCCGCAATCCGACCGGATCAAGTCCGGCAACCCGCGCCGCGATACGAAACGGCCAAGCGTGGCCAAGAAGGCTTCCGTGCTGAGGGCGCTTACAAGTTCCAAGGGAACGGCTTTAGTGGAGAGGCACACGAAGACGCAAAGATAGGCCTTATGCGAACGGGCGTTACGAAGGTTAGAGGACTTGACGAGGAAGGGGCCAGCAAAGTCGGTTCCAACTCCAGCAAATGGTCGAATGGCCCTGACGCGGTCGGGCGGCAAGTCACCCATGAGGGGCTGCGATATGGTGGCCTTCAGTTTAACGGTGGTAGAGCCACGCAGCAGTTTTTGCTGTTGCATGTATGGGCCGGCTCGAGCCGGGTTGGTACCACGACCTCACAGAATACCGGCGTGAAGTAGAAGCTTTGCTTCTGCGTTTCGTCTGGTGAGTGCAGGTGGCCGGAGGCCCAATTCCCCCCCCAACCAAATTGATGGGGGGGGCCCATCAACATGGTAGCAGAATTACACGAAGAACTACCCCAGGAGGGTACCAGCACCCCTGGAGAATCCCTCGCTGAGCATCCACGACCATGTTATTCCAATCCTGAGCGTGGGTGCTCAGGCTGCCCCGCGTATTCTGGGGGGGGGGGGGGGGCAAAATTCCCTCAAAAACAAAACTGCTCGGGGCAAACTGAGCAGCAATACCAAGGCGACCCCTGCCACGCTATCCGTGAATTTCTGCACGCACGGCAAAGCCGGCCTTGCTCTTTCTGACCGAGACGCAGGTTTCCTCTCCGGCTGATATTTCGTATCTCTCCTACCCGGGGTACAAATTGGAGCATTCCTTTGTGCCTCGGGCTGGAGTTTGCGTGTATGTCAGAGAGGACATCTGTTCTCGACGCCTCGGCAGTCTTGAAGGTTCGGACCTGTCCATCCTTTGGCTACGCGTAGACAGCGACGACCATCCGCGCGTCTACGGGTGCCTCTATAGGTCCCATAGCGGTAATGCCGAAACAGACCGACTCATCGACCACGTCCAAATGGCTACAGATTTCTTGCTACAACAGGTCCCATCCGCAGAGATCGTGATCCTTGGCGATTTTAACGCCCACCATGCCGAATGGCTCGGTTCACGTCTAACCGATCATGCGGGGAGATCTGTTTATGACTTTGCCTTGGCATATGGTCTGACACAACTGGTTACTTCACCTACGCGGATTCCAGATGTGGAGGATCATACACCTTCCCTGTTGGACCTTCTGCTGACCTCTCATCCGGAAGGATATCTGGTTTCCGTCGATGCCCCTCTCGGCTCTTCGGACCATTGTCTGATCCGGAGTGTGGTGCCACTCACGCTCCCTTCGCGGTTGCGTTCTGCAGGTTGCCGCCGTGTTTGGCATTACAGGTCGGCGGATTGGGACGGAATGCGGTCCTTCTTTGCATCCTACCCATGGGGGCGGGTTTGCTTCTCGCCGGATGATCCCAGCGCTGTTGCTGACTCTGTCACTGATGTGGTGCTACAGGGAATGGAACTATTTATTCCATCATCTGTGGTACCCATCGGAGGCAGATCTCAGCCTTGGTTTGGTCGCTCCTGTAAGACTGCATTACGCAGTAAGCAGGAGTGTTATCAAGCCTGGGCTGCGGCTTCGGCGACTCGGGATGTAAATACCAGCACACTTAAAAAGAAGTATAACTTCGCCTCCAGGTCCTTCAAAAGAGTTATTGCCAAGGCAATGTCAGAGCACATAGGCAGAATTGGCGAGAAACTAGTTCGCCTTCCTTCGGGAACCCGTCCATTCTAGTCTCTCGCCAAGGCTGTCCAAAGGAATTTCTGTAAGCCATCACTACCATCTCTGCACAGGGAGGATGACTCACTGGCCCATGACGCAAAAGACAAAGCCGACCTTTTAGGCTCCCTTTTTGCGTCCAACTCGACTCTTGATGACGAGGGGAAAACACCGCCGACCATCCCGCGGTGTGAGTGCTCCATGCCGGATGTGCTGTTCTCACAGCGCTCGGTTCGCAAAGCACTGCTCTCCCTGGACATCCAGAAGTCGAGTGGGCCGGACGGAATCCCCCCAATCGTGCTGAGGACGTGTGCTCCAGAGTTAGCACCGGTCCTAACGCGTCTTTTCCGGTACTCCTACTCCCAAGGCGTAGTCCCGAATTCATGGAAGACAGCTTTTGTCCACCCGATCCCTAAAAAAGGCGACCGCTCAGACCCATCCAACTATAGGCCTATCGCGATCACCTCCTTGTTCTCCAAAATAATGGAATCCATTATTAACTGCCAGCTCATCCGGTACCTTGAGGATCACCAGCTGATTAGTGACCACCAATACGGTTTTCGTCGGTGTCGATCAGCTGGTGATCTTCTGGTCTACCTGACCCATAGATGGGCGGAGGCAGTAGAGTCCAAGGGGGAGGCGTTGGCCGTTAGTCTGGACATTGCGAAGGCCTTCGATCGGGTTTGGCACAAAGCGCTTCTTTCGAAGCTCCCTTCCTATGGGCTTCCCGAGAAATTGTGCAATTGGATCACCAGCTTCCTTGTAGATCGGAGCATCAAGGTCGTTGTAGACGGTGCATGCTCTGACTACAAGCCTATTAACGCTGGTGGTCCACAAGGCTGTGTGCTATCACCAACGCTGTTTCTTCTGCATATCAATGATATGTTGCTAACTGGTAACATTCATTGCTATGCGGATGACAGCACTGGTGATGCTCTATACACCGGCCGTGCCAATATTTCTCGGGAAAACGTCGCTGAGTACCGGAACAAACTTGTGTCTGAAGTCGAGTCTTTGCTGAACAAAGTCTCGGATTGGGGGCGACTAAATCTAGTCCAATTTAATCCTCAGAAGACACAAGTTTGCGCGTTTACCGCTAAAAAGAACCCCTTTGTCGTATCTCCTCAGTTTCAAGGCACTCCCCTTCTTGCCTCAGCCAGTATCGGTATCCTCGGAGTCGACATATCGAGTGACGTGCAGTTTCGTGGTCACTTGGAAGGGAAGGCCAAATTGGCCTCTAAAAAGCTTGGCGTGCTCAGCAGAGCGGGAGAGTGTTTCATGCCGGCACACCGCCTGCTACTTTACAAGGCGCAAGTTCGGCCTCACATGGAATACTGTTCCCATCTCTTAACAGGGGCTCCCCAGTGCCAGCTCCTTCCACTTGACTGCATTCAACGCAGAGTGGCTCGAATTGTCGACGACCGAGCCCTTTCCGATCGGCTCGATTCATTGGCACTGCGAAGAGATGTTGCATCCCTTTGCATTTTCATTAGCATCTACCATGGGGAGTGCTCTGAGGAATTGTTCGGATTAATCCCAACCGCCAAATTTCACGAACGCACATCGCGGCAGAACTCCCGATACCATCCACACCATCTGGATGATTGGCGGTCCACCACTGTGCGATTTAGAAGATGTTTTCTTCCTCGCACGACCTCCTTGTGGAATCGATTACCATCAGCGATTTTTCCGGACCGATACGACTTAGGGACCTTCAAGAAAAGAGCGTACTCCTTTTTAAAAGGCCGGCAACGCATCTGCAATTCCCCTGGTGTTGCAGTTGTTCATGGGCGGCGGTAGTCACTTACCATCAGGTGAGCCGCATGCTCGTTTGCCCCCTCTCCTATAAAAAAAAATAAAATAAAATAACAGGATATGCAATTAAAGATGACGCTCCGGATGAGACGTCGGCCAGCCAAAATCCAAAACTCCCGCTGTAAAATAGCCGAAAGAGCTTTGCACCCAGCGTGGGCATTCTTAACATGGTGGTGGGCTACCAGCAATCGGACCAGGGTGCCGTCCTTAAGGAGCAGCAACGGGTGTCGAGCCCCGTACGGCAGTTGAGAATTTTTTAAACGTCCGCCAACGCGCAGCATCCCCTCATTATCCAGAAAGAGGTTCAGGCGGGCCAGGGCGCCCTTGATAACGGAGCCACGCTTCAAGTTTTCAATGACGGGCTCAAATTGCTCCGTTTGGACCATACGGGTCCAGTGCATCAAAGCTTCACGGCGCTCGCTAGGGGACAAAACGCTATCAGAGAGTCGGTGGGATGGGTATCTCGAATTGCGGACAAAGCGGCGCAACCAAGCAGTAACTCCCAAGAGCTTATCGAGGGAGCTGTACCGTTCCAGAAGAGAGAGATCCCGAGTGGGCTTATCCTTGCCCACTCCTACTCGGGCTCGTAGGCCCGGCAATTCGGTAGGTTCGGAGTAATTGCCCGGGGGCCAGAATGACTGAGACCCAGATAACCAACCGGGACCCCTCCACAGTGGGTGGTCAACCAGCGATGGGGCCTCACAGCCGCGAGAAGCGCAGTCCGCGGGATTCAACTCCCCTGGGACATGTCGCCAGTTGAGAGAAGTCTCAGAACTCTGGATTTGAGACACGCGGTTCGCCACAAAGACCTCAAGATTGTGAGGTGCAGCTCGGAGCCAACAAAGTACTATCTCACTGTCCGACCATGCGTAGATGCCCGTAATGTCGATTACAGGCTTCAAGGAAGAGTGAACGTGGTTGAGGAGTCGCGTGAGGAGAGCGGCACCGGACAGTTCCAATTTAGGGATAGTTAAGCGGGAGCTAATGGGAGCAACCTTGCTTTTAGCGAGTACGAGATGGACGGCAGTATGACCAGAGGAACTCACCGTCCGCAAATATACGACAGCAGCATAGCCCTTCTCAGAGGCGTCGCAAAACCCATGTAGGGTAGGGAAGGAAGCACCTTGGCATGGAAACCCGGTTGATATCCGGAAGGGAGGAGAGCATGGAGAGCCACTCTCGCAAGAGGGCTCCGCCAATCGGCTCGTCCCAACCCAACCCGGACATCCAGAGCTTTTGAAGAAAGCACTTAGCAAAAAAGATGACCGGGGTGATCCACCCATTAGGGTCGAAGGTGCGGGCTACGGTGGACAGCACGAAGCGTTTGGTCCATGCTTTGGGCGGTGAGTCAAGTTTTACTCTATACGTAAAGGTGTCCTGAACAGGCTGATATTGAATGCCCAGCACAGTCAACAAATTAGGATTCTCAGGGTGCTCGAACAGATGAGGGTCTTGTTGATCCTCTCCTGGGAGGTCCTTCAAAATATGAGGGGAGTTCGACAACCACTTGCGCAACTCATAGCCTCCAGACTTCAGGATGGCAATTAATTCGTCTCGCAAGACCAGAGCCTCCTCGACGGTGGAAGCGCCCGTACAAATGTCGTCCATGTAGACCGAAGTCTCCAAAATAGAAGCTCCCCGAGCGTATCTCAGGCGCTCTCTCTCAGCGAGTTCAAGGAGGGTTCGCATGGCGATATACGGGCTGGACCGGAGTCCATAGGTGGTGGTGTTCAACTCAAATACCTTTATAGGATCGCTGGGCTTCTCGCGCCACAATATCAGCTGATATCGGCGGTCATCACGATGGACCACTGATTGGCGAAACATCATCCGAATGTCCGCGACAAAAACCACTTGGTGTCGACGGAATTGGGTCAAGATGTCGGATATGTCCTTGATCAGTTTAGGACCCGAGTGAAGACACTGGTTCAGAGACACACCGTTTGATGTGGGGGCGGAACCGTCAAAAACTACCCGAATCTTACTCTCAGGGGTCCTCAAGACCGCATGGTGAGGGAGGAAGTAGTGCTCCTGTGAACGCCATTCGAAGTTGGACGGTGACATATGACCCAGCTCCTGATACTCGCGCATGAACTCGACATATTTGTCGCGAAAGGCTGGGTCGCGCCGCATGCAACCTCTTCTCGGCCAGAGCTCGTGCTTTTTGATTGACCCAAAGAGGGGCGTGAGTCCAGAAAGGGTAAGCGAGTGACGAAACAACCGTCAACCCGCCGGCCGGTATTGTTCTGGTAGAACAACTCACACTCACGGTCCAGAGGGTCGACTCGAGCTGCATGTGGTGGTTCCTCAATTTCCCAGAACCGCTGGACGGCGTCCGATAGGGACACGCCCACGACGGAGAGCGGGTCGGCCGTCGGAGGGGGAGGAGACCACATAACCGGTCCAAAAAAGCTGTGCCCAAATATCGTGGAAATGGCTGACAGGCCATCGGGCTGCAGAGCTCGTATCTCACCTAACAAGAGGACACCCAGCGTGTCGGCCCCCAGTAACAAATCTATAGGCCCAGGTTGGGCCCACCGAGGGTCTGCCGGTCTTAAAGCCGACGCACAGCGCACAGCGCTGTCATTTATACGAACTTTAGGGAGAAACCCTACAATGTCGTCGAGGACCTTGACTAAAATACGAAGGTGTTCGCTGTCAGGGCTGAACACCAACTCCGCTTGTCCCCTAGGAGCAGGAGGCTCGGCACCTCCGATACCTACCATCGGACGTGATTCAGAGCTCCAGGGGAGCCCCAGTCTTCCCACCAACCGAGTAGAGGCCACACTACGTTGGGAACCCGAATCCAATAGAGCTCGAACCGTTAAGCGGTCGCTGCTCGGGTTGTAAACCTTCACTGAGGCCGTCGGCAATAGAACAGTTTGACAGGTGGACTGCTGACGACTTATAGGCTCAGTGGAGGCGGCCATGGCGGGAGCTAGGGCGGCAGCCTCCTATCTGGAACTGCCTCTGTTGGACCGGCACCCGAACCGGGGGCCCCGAGAGCGGCACTCCGACGGCGTCTCGATGACCCTTGACTGGAATTCCCCGAACGGGCCGACCTGGGGAAACTCGGGGATCCTCGGTTCCAAGGCCCGGGGCCGATACGCAGTCTTCGGAACCCGGTAGTACCGGCACCGACCAAAGGGGGGCGGGCGGCGTTCCAGTCGCGGCCACTCAGCCAACGGGGGTGAGAACGGTCTAGCTGACCGCTGAGTGGCTGCGAATCCATTATCAACTCGCTGAGGGGGGTGAAGACCCCCCGCCCCTGGGGGAACGACTCCCAGACCGATCGGGGGAGGGACTCCCCTCAGAACGAGGGGCGCTGTGGTCCACCGGTGAGCGCCGGGCGTCGCCCGACAGTGGGCGTGGCTGGGCGCCCCCGCCCGTGGGAGTCGGGGGGCTGGCAGGGCCCTGAGAGGACGAGCCGCGCGCACCCAGGCACAATATGACGTGGTGGTTGCCCTGGCAGTGCGTGCAGGGCCGCTGGTGCGGGCAGTCTCGTTGTAAATGCCTTTCCAGGCACGAGAAGCACCAGCGGCGCTCCCTGGCGATGGTTCGCCTCGCCGTAGCCGGCTTGCGCAACAACTTCGGGCACGACGCCGCCCGGTGGTCGGATGCTCGACAATAGGAGCAGGGAGGCGCCTCCCGGGCCGCCAGGCCACTATAGGAGGGTACTGGGGGGCGCCCTCCCGCGGGGGCTCCGCTCGGCCTCAGGGGGGTGGGCGCCGCCTTGGCCGGCTGATTCCGCCTCTCCCTGGGCACTGCTCGGAAGGCGGCCGGGGGGCCCTCGACGGCGCCTGCTGCGTTCTCCAGCTGCCTACACTGCTCCTCCAGGAACCGCCGCAGGTCCATAAAGGGGGGCATGTACGAAGCGCCATCCCCTCCGTACCTCTCCTCAAAATGGAGCCGAAGGTCGAGGGGCAGGCGGGACAGCACTATATGAAGGAGCAGAAAAGACCACTCGTCCACAGGTAAATCCAGCCGCCGCAACGAGTTGCACGCTACGACGACTGGATTCACTATGTCCTCACGTAGTCTAGTCCGGTCCTTCAGCAGCGGGAGGTTCAGCAGCCTCCGAACATGATCGTCCGCAATCTGCAGAACGTTGGCGTACCTTCCAGCGAGGAGGTCCCTGGCGTTTTGGTAGGCGTCGTCCGACAACTTAAGGTGGCCGACGACGCCCAGGGCCTCCCCCTCCAGTGATGCCAGGAGGTACCCCATTTTTTGGCAGGGGGTCAGGTCCCTCCGGGCGTCCACCAGGCTGTCAAACATGCCGACGAAGGTCAGCCACTCCGAGAGGACCCCGGAGAACCTTGGCAGGTCCAGCGTGGGGAGTCGTCCTAGCAGCTCTGGCTGAGTAGGCGGCTTCCGCGGGGACTCGAGAAGGCTACTCAGCCGAGCTTCACGCTCCCTCTCCGCGTCCTTGGCCCCCGCCTCGATCAGGTCGTCCGTTAGCGCGAGGAACTGCTCGTAGTCCGCGCGGCAGGAGTCCAGGACTCCCTTTTCCACCTCCGAGTCCTCGAGCTCAGAGTAAGCCTCCTCCACGGCAGCCCTTCGAGCATCGACCTGCTCGAGCCTCTTCCTCAGATTATAGACCCTGTGCGGTCGGCCTATGAACGCGTGTGCGCTGGTAGCCCAGCGCAGCTCAGTCCGCAAGCAACGAATTAGTAGCTTATGTGACGGCATACTAAATACAATACAATAACAAAATAACAGAAATAACGAATAATTACTAAATACAATAATAACAAATACTAATAACAAAATAACAGAAATAACGAATACAGTACTACTAATACGATAATATCAATCAAAAATACAAGTAAATACGAAAAAACACAAATCAAATTAGCACTTAACAACCCTAGTACGATTAACAATTATCCCATTACGTGACAGCCTTATGTATCTAATCAAATACTTCGCCTCAACAATTCTCGCTTGTTACCTACGGGCGTGGCGTTAGCAACTACCTCCTAACTACAGAGAAAAGGCGAGCCAATATGCAACAAGAAAGAATTATTATTTATATTAATTTTACGTATTACGGCCGGGCGTGATTGTAGACACAATCAGCCACGCTTCTGCTACCAAATATTACGGCCTGCAGCTGCCTAGCTAATGATAGTATCCACCTAGGCCCATAGTAGTAAGATCCTACAGGCAGATACAGGTCGGGCTTTTGGCCAAAGTGAAAATTTCTAATTGAAACAAACGAGGGGAAAGGTCACTAAGATAAAGGCACTCACCTGCTCCAGGAGCGGAGACGATTCTCCGAGACCGGCCCGGCTGATGACAGTGTCGTGAGTGTATGTGTAATTGTATGTGCGTGTATGTTGACGGGCCCTGATCTGGATGACGCAATGCCGTCCGGGAGAAGGTATGCGCTGGTATCCTCGGAACTTTCCCCCTCTGGAGGCACTCTTCCTGGTTTGTCACGAAATGGGACAGCTACACGTAGTACTTCAGAGGTAAATCACTATTATAGTTGCACAATTAATTTAACAGAGTTAGTAGTTCCTGATGAACGATACGGTTCTCACAACGATTTACGCGGGTTGATACTTTCGTAACAAGTTAGGCGCGGAAAACGTCAGTCTAGCTCGCAAGAAATTCTAAAATGAATCTCGAGAAGTCCGATCCAGCCGCGTCAGGCGGCCAAGGCCAATCGAGGCCAAGCGCGCGCGTTAGAATACGTTTCGAAGGTAAAAATAATAAAAATAAATATTCTTGCCTAAACAGGCTCATTGGCGATGGTTCTTAGATAGGATTTATGGTGTTATCTCACCAGGGGGCGCTGCAAAGAATATTTTGTGTGGAAACGATTATTCCCATTTATCTCGAAAACGGTTTGACCGATTTGGATGCGGTTTTCTGTATAGAGTTTGTGACTCATTGTCGATGGTTCTCAGATAGGTGCTATAGTGTTAGCTCGCCAGAGGGCGCTGCAATAAATAAATCACTCGTTAAAATAAATTGTAGCGATTTTTTTCCTCGAGACGGCTCCACCGATTTAGATGCAGTTATCGATATCTTATAACATACTAGTGATTTGCCCCGGCTTCGCACGGGGTGATTTCTGGATTTCGTCAACAGCGCCACCTACAGGGTCATCAATTTAATCACACACACAAAATTTCATCAAAATCCGTTTACGGCTGGATCGATTTTGATGAAATTAAAAAAATAACAGGGGAATTTGTAATTGTGTAATTGTACATATATATATACAAAAAATCCATCAGGGCTGCCATTCCCTGACCTGAAATGAACTAAAATTTTACATTTTTATGAGTTTGTGACTAACTGAAATGACGGCGAGTACTTAAATAAATGTAGTCTTTAATTGATATAAATGGCTGCTTTTCCTAGCTTTTCTTCTAAATTGAAATAGGGAACAAAGATGGCAATGGCAGCCCCGACGGTTTTTTTGGATTTATAACTATATTACCTAATAAGTAGGTGAATAGGTGTAGTACCTATATTTTATATTATTGCTGTGTCTATCGCTAAAACAAACTAATAGGTACACAAAGATAGGAAGGACTAAGGAAAGACATGATTAGTTGTTTATAATGACAGACCTCGCGGTAAATCAACCCTTTTAAAAACTCTTTTTATTTTTATCTTTCGTGACTTACTTCCTTTTAGTCGGGGGTTTATCAATATGTTTATTTAATCCTTTTTCAATTACTCAATTACACATTTTACATCCGTCGTGGGTTTTTTTTTTTCAAAATTTTTAATTTTACATTTATTAAAACATTGACTTTGTGTACGATAACCGAAAGACATAGATCAAAAAATAGTTTGAAAGTATCGAT